GGCATATAGACTGGCCTTACTGCACAAATGAGAAAACATTGATAATGTCTTCCATGTATCCTTATTACGAAAGTATCAGCTTGACCCATCCCATATATTGAAATATGAACCTTTACCAATCAGAAAGGACCTGACCTTCATTGAACGACCAATTCTGATACTAGATAGGAGGGTACAAGTGTTACGCAACAATGAAATTCCTCTGGTCCGTATATTGCGGCAATACCATTCGAAGGAGTCAACTTGGGAAAGAGAAGACGAAATGAAGGAAAAATACCCCGATCTTTTTCAACAATCAGGTACAAAAATTTAGAGGACTAAATTTCTTTAAGGGGAGAAGGATATGATGACCCAAAATTTTAGAAAGAAAAACAAAAAAATATTATAACTAAAATAAAATAATAATAAATAAAATAATAATATTAATAATAAATATATATAATAAAAATAAAATAATAATAGATGAATAATAATAAATAACTAAATGAGTAAAATGATAAATTTAAAATGATGGTCCATGAGAATTCAATACTCCATGGGACCACCACTAAACCTCCACGATTTTTCAACAAAAGTTATAAATAAAGAAGAGAAAACGAAAAATGAGGTTAGGTGAGGTGTCTCAAGAGGGAGGTGTCTCATAATTGAAATGAGGTGTCTCATGGGTAAGGATGAGGTGTCTCATAATTGATGTGAGGTGGCTCATGAAGGCTAGTATTCAAATAAGGGAAAAGACACATGGAAGCCATGTGTCTTATGGATATTGAACCCTACTATTTATAAATGCCCCATTAAACCCTTAAGCATGGCATCAATTTGTCTTCTCCCTCTGTCTCTCTCCTCTCAAATAAGAGCTTCTTTCTCACCACGTAAGTTCATCTCTCCTGCTTTTTTATGTCAATTTTAGTCATGAGCATAACAGTTTCAATGATTTCATCAAATCATCTCATTATTTTAATGATTTTCATTATCATCTCTTCCTCATCATGCTAGGTTGTTATTATCATCTCAATATTTTAATAATTTTCATTCTCATCTCTCCCTCATAATCTCTCTCTCATAATGATAATAATGATTTTTCATTATTATAAAATATTACCTCCTTATATTAGTAGTCTTAATTTCATAACATTTTAATATTTCACTCTCATACCATCGTCATATACAATATTATTCTGTTACAGTAAGCACTGTCATTCTCAGAATATTTCCACAATAGTATTTTCACGAATTATAGTATGATACTCTCGCGCATCATCCTCCCATATTTTGAGCATATTTTCTCTCCATAAAAAGAGAACTCATTTGACCTCTTTTCTCATACTTTAGCTGAATGTCAGTAATAATCTTGTTCTGGCAATAGTAACAACATAGTCATCTCGTGACATATAAAAGTAAATGAACTCATTCTCCTGAAAAGTAGTTCGTTTTTAATACAATTGCGATATTTCCGTCCATCATCTTTATTTTATAAGTTTTATGTGTAAGCGATCACAATTTCCTGTAAAATAGTTATTTAAAAACTATTGTTTCTGTATTTCTGTTTACCAGTATGAATTTTGAAATTGTAAGTATTATGTGCAAGTGGCTTTACTTTTCATGAAAAACAGTTGATTAAGACAGTTGACAATTCCGTAATTACTTATGGATTTCCATGAGAATTCTTCTATTAATAATAGATTGTTTATCATGTTACATTTCAAGAAGGATTTTTTGACTACTGTCTTTTTGAAATTATTGCTTAAAATGTTTGACTAAGCTACTTATAGATATTTCAATAACAGTGATTATTATTAATTGGCTCAAGTGAATTCATGATAAGGATTTCAATGATATTTCAAATAGATGATATTGATGCTTTCTAATGTTTAAAGAGTTTCAGAGATAATTTAAGTATAATTGGACCCATCCAGAATATTGGTGTGATATTTGGACTCATCCGGTACGCTGTTGAGGTATGATCGGATCTACAGGGATTGTTTGGACCTCCTGTTACGCCGGTAGGGATTATTTGGACTCATCCGGTATGCCGGTGAGGTATAATTGGACTTGCAGGAATTATTTGGACCCATCTAGGACGCTGGTGGAGTATATAAGTGACCTACTTGGGGCGCTAGTAGGGTATTTGTGGAATCTTGCATTGATGTTAAAATGTTTATATGCATTTCAATCATTTGGATTATGTTTAATTGTGTAATTGTGAAAGTGAAATTGTTATCCATTAACGCTTTTGCTCGCATTGTTTTTAATAGACCTCCCTTTTGAAAGTGTTTATATTTTCCAACCATGATTATTTTTAACGACCATGATGATCACTTATTGAGTAGTCAAGCTCATCAAACTGTTATGAATCCTTTTCAAAGTAATGACAGCCTTATCATGCAGTAGGAATAGCTTGGGAGAAATGATAATCAAGATCAAATATTTTTGTAACATTTGTTCTATCAAAATTGTAAAATCTTCATGTTGACATAAGCTGAAAATGTACTTTGAACAGTTGGGAGACTTCTGTATGGACCTTCCAGTTAATATTTGTATTGAGTAGACTTTGTACAAACACTTAGAAATAGAAAAAAATATCTAGCCTTCATGTTAATACCATTAGTGAGCAGACTTTGTACAGATAAAAATTACACTATTTGATGCAATACGAATATACAAGTAGGAATTTTAAATTTGTTCTATATATAAATAGTATAAGAATAGCCTGTCGCACCTCAAGAATGTTAGTGAACTTGGGGTGTGACAATTTATGTATCAGAGCAATAGGTTTTGGGTTCCTATGAAATTTGTATAGGAATATGCACTAAATCGTACTTATTGTATGAACAAATAATTACAATGGCAAGTTCTCGTATGGCTGGAGCTAGCATGGAAGGAGTTAATAGAGCTTTGGAAAATATGGTTGCCCTTATACAACATCAAATGGAGAATAACAATCCACTTAGACAGCCAGTTGTAAGAAATGGTGGGTGTAGTATCGAACAATTTAAGAAATTAAACCCAATTTCCTTTAAGGGTGCTACGGATCCACTAGAAGCCGAGGGATGGATTATTCAATTGGAAAAAAATATTTGAAGAAATAGCATGTCCAGATGATAAGAGAGTCACCTTAGCAGTCTTTATGTTGGAAGGTGAAGCTGAACATTAGTGGGGGATGGCAATAAGAGTACTGGTCCTAAAAAATAATCCTTGAACTTGGGAAGCATTTCGAGAGACATTTTAATGATAAGTACTTCCCATATTTTATTTGAGATAAAAAAGAAATGAAATTTCTGGAGGTAGTTCAAGGAAATAGGACGGTAGGACATTATGAGGCCAAGTTTACTGAATTGGCTACGTTTGCCCCACATATGGTCAACAATGAGGCAATAAAGTTGAAAAAATTTGAAAGGGCCCTCAGACCAGCCATTAGAATCAGATTATCAGTCTTAAAATTAAGAACTTACGTCGAAATAATGGATCGAGCTCAAATTGTTGAAAAGGATTGCGAAGATTATCAAAAGAGGAAAAATTAGAGTGGTCAATAATTGACAACAATTTGAAAGGGCAAAAAAAAGACCAAGGCCGACACCATTTCAAGTCCCACCAGAGCCTTGTAAGAGATGTGGAAAGAAACTGTTACTGGGGAACCAGAGCTTGTTTTCAATGTGGGAAGTTGGGACACAAGATGAAAGATTGTCCACTCTAAAAAAAGCAACAACATACGAAGCCTGAAGAAGCAGCCTAGAAACCTCAAACAAAGGGAAGAGTATTCACAATTACCCAGAAAGATGCTCAGGCCTCAAACTCGGTGATCCAAGGTACTCTTACTATCTTCCAAACGTTAGCTCATTTTCTGATTGATCCTGGATCTATTCATTCATTTGTGTCATCACATTTTGCTTGCCACTTAAAGGTAGAACCAGAACAATTGGAATACATTTTAGAGGTAGCCACACCTACGGGGGATTCAATTGATACCAATTTAGTATACAAATCTTGTGATAGAAGAAAAGGAACTCTTAAGGGATTTAATACTCTTAAAAATTCAAGATTTTGATGAAATCTTAGGCATGGATTTGCTCTCTGCCTACCATGCAAGTGTTAATTGTTACAAGATAAGGGTTGCATTTTGTATACCCAATCAACCAGTATTTTACTTAGAGGGTATCAAAGGAGCCTCCCCACCATAATTAGTCTCCTCCATTCAGGTTAATCGCCTCCTTCAAAAAGGGTGTCAAGGCTTTTTTGCCTATATTAAGGAAGATAAAAAGGAAAAAATAAACTTGAATGCCATTCCGATTGCTCAAGAATTTCTTGACGTATTCCTTGAGGAATTGTCAGGATTACCCCCTGGCAAGGAAATCGAATTCTCCATTGAGTTACTTCCCGGGACAGCCCCAATTTTCACAGCCCTTTATTGAATGGCACCTACAGAACTTAAGGAACTTAAACAACAACCGGAAGAATTATTAGATAAAGGTTTAATTCGACCCAGTGTGTCACCTTGAGGTGCTCCAGTATTGTTTGTTAAAAAGAAGGATGGGTCCATGAGGTTGTGTATCGATTATAGACAGCTAAACCAGGTGACAGTGAAAAATAAGTATCTGCTACCTATAATTGATGATTTATTTGATCAATTACAAGGATCACAAGTATTTTAAAAAATTGATCTCAGATCTGGGTACCATCAGCTTAAGATTAGAAGTGATGATGTTCCCACTATAGCTTTTAAGACAAGATATGGACATTATAAATTCTTAGTTATGCCTTTTGGATTAACCAATGCATCGTTTGCATTTATGGATTTGATGAATCGAGTCTTTATACCTTTTCTGGATAAGTTTATTGTGGTATTCATCGATGATATTCTAGTCTATTCCAAGGTTCTGGAGGAACATGAACAACATGTAAGAATAGTGTTGTTACTAAGAGAAAAGAAGTTGTATGGCAAACTAATTAAATGTGAATTTTGGCTAGAGAAAGTAACATTTTTAGGACATGTAATATAAAAGGAAGGTTTATCAGTTGATCTTTCAAAGGTTGAAACCGTTGTTAATTGGAAACAACCAAGTAATGTGATTGAAGTACGAATTTTTTTGGAATTGATAGGATATTACAGAAGATTTGTAGAAGGATTCTCTTGAATTGCAACCCCATTAACTCGATTGACCCAGAAAAATATCAAATTTGGATGGACAAAGGAATGTGAGGAGAGTTTTCAAGGACTAAATGCTCGATTGACTTCAGCACCTATCTTAACTAATCTTGAGGGGAGTGGAGGATTTGTGATTTATAGTGACGCTTCACATAAAGGCTTGGGCTGTTTATTAATGCAATATGATAAAGTAGTGGCATATGCATCCAGACAGTTAATAGAATATGAGAAGAAATATCCAATTCATGACTTAGAGTTGGCTGCAATAGTATTTGCCTTGAAAATTTGGAGGCATTATCTGTATGGTGAGAAATTTGAAATATATACAGATCATAAGTGTCAGAAATATCTCTTTTCCCAGAAAGATTTAAATGTGCGACAAGTAAGATGGATGGATTTCCTAAAAGATTATGATTGTACAATCCATTATCATTCAGGAAAGGCCAATGTTGTGGCAGATGCTCTAAGTAGGAAGTCTGTAGGAGTGCTAGCTCATGTAATGATTCGAGAGATGAAATTGTTAGAAGAAATAGTGGTTTGCCATCCGACTCTGCCCCTTAATAGTAGGGTAGGTATTGTTGCCAACATAAGGGCTGAACCCCAACTAGTTCAACGAATTCGGATAGCACAAAAAGGGGACCCTCAACTTATAAAATTATAGAAGAAGTGAAGTTGCGAAAGAGAGACGATTTCCCCATAAGCAGTGAGGTTGGATCTACATCCCAGATGATTAGAATGTGAAGAAAGCTATATTGGAAGAAGCACATCACTCCCGTTATACCATTCATCCCGAGAGTACCAAGATGTACCAAGGCTTGAAGAAAACCTTCTGGTGGAATAATATGAAAAAGGAAGTAGCACTATTTGTTTTCAAGTGCCTAACATGCTAGCAAGTAAAAGCTGAACATCAGAAGCCCGCTGGATTGTTGCAACCCTTACCAATACCAGAATGGAAATGGGAGCACATTTCTATGGATTTTATCTCCGGTATACGAAGAACAAATTCAGGCATGATAACATTTGGGTTATTATGGACTGGCTAACCCAAGCTGCCCACTTTCTACCGATTCGTACGACTGACACTTTAGATCGACTAAGCCAGTTGTACATTAAGGAAATAGTGCGATTGCACGGAGTTCCGATCAGTATTGTATCGGACAGAGACACTCGGTTTACTTCTAGATTTTGGGCTAAGCTCCAAGCGACTATGGGGACAAGACTCACCTTTAGTATTGCTTTTCGCCCCCAAACAGATGGGCAATCAGATATGACTATCTGGACCTTAGAAGATATGCTAATTGGATTGTTTAAGGTTGCAACGTTATAGAAACCACACCTTTTCTAGAAAAACATTTTCATGCGAATCAAATGTGCCAGAGAAAAGCCAAAGCCAGATTAGTCCTAAAATTCTATTTGATGCCTTGTCCGAATCGGCGATCCAGAATCATTGGGTTTGATTCTAGGCAAAACCCCAAATCTTAGAGCATTTGACCTCAAAACTTTGAACCTCCAAGCTTTCAACCTAATTCGCAACTCTCTTCAGTTTTTGTCTGTGCATTGAGCCATCCATATCTCTAACCCTTTCTCACTCAAAACCCTAGCAACTCAACCATGCATTGCCATTGGCCCCAACAAAGCTCAACCCTCCAGCAGCTCATGTCCTCGTCGCCTCATGATTATTCCCCTCATCGCCCCCTATTGCTGCAAGCTAGGAGCTCATAGAAAGCTACAGTGAGTCATTTTTTTTTTTTAGAGCTCAAAAAAGATAAGCACAGATCTAAATGAGGTTTTATTTCTGATATTTTTTTTTTTTATCAAACTCAAACAAGATTAACCCCAAGTCTACAAAGAGGTTTTTTATTTATTTTTTGTTTTGATCAAACCCAAAGAAGATTAACCCCAAATCTACAAAGAGCTTTTCTATTTGATTTTTTGTTTCCTTTTTTATTTTCCTGGTTGCATATTCACAGAGTTTATTTATTTATTATTTATGTTTTAATTTTCTAGTTTGTCACATAAAATTTGATGTGGGCGTTCTCTTTATTGAGAAGTAATATTTGGGGCTCAAGAGTTTGATTATTTTGATTTTGTGTCTATTATGTAAATTCATTTGGGTTTTAGGTGTTTGATTAATTGATCATTGTTGCTATCGTTGGGATTTATATAAATTTTTTGAATTTTTTTTTTTAAATACCGGCCGACCGCCAAAACCCCTTGAAACTGGAACCGATCAGTGGCCGGTTCCGATCAAACCAGGTAACCACCCGATAAGATCGCCTGGCTTTTCCAACATGGACTTAGACAATTGGTATAAAAATATTCTCCAACTTGACCCATGAGAGAATTTTTTTAAATGAAAATATTTTTTAGAAAACATTTCATGGGAACCAAACGTGCCATAAATGACACGTTTTCTATGAGTTCACGTAGAAATGAATCCGTTCTTAAATATTTATTTTTGAGATAGATTTTTGTACCCATTTTTTAAGGGCATGTAATCTCTAACATGGAGATCATAAATATGAAAAAATAAATAAATGTTAAAAAATAAAAATAATAATTTTATGAAAAAAACATTTGGACCATTAGTTTTCGATTGTTTCTAGATGGACCATCCATTTGCATCCATCTTTAAGATGAATGCTTTATAATGCAGAGGAGCAAATGTAGAAATGCGGGATGTCGACATATGAAATAATTTTCCTTCTCTAAAACTTCCTCCTACATTTTTTTTTTAAAGTTTATTTAATATTTTATATTAAAAAAGTTTATACTAGAGGAGGTTTTTTCGATGCCCAAAAATCCTCAAATCAATCATCTCGACCTCTGTATGGACATAAAAAACAATATAGATTTCAAATCTTAGAAATATTGCATCTTGTAATGCAATTTTTGATTGTCAATTTTCATGATTTTTAAATATCCACAAATCTACCCGATCTGTACTATTTTTGAAGCTTTAAATTTTATAATTAGATATAAAACAAAATTTTAGGTGATTACAAAGATTTATAGTGATGAAACAACTTTCAATACTATTTGAAGGTGCGCTTTGCTTTGATTATTTAGGGCCTCAGCCTTATACAAACCATACCCATTTTATAATCCCCACCTCATAAATATTTTTTTTAATTTTTTTTATATTTTTTAGATTATTGGTTTTGACCAGCGTTTTAAAAAACGCCGAGTCGAACCGAACTCCCCCGGTTCCGACTCGGGATAGTGAAAA